GTTTTATTTCAAAATTGTTTTTCTCTATTTTTTTCCAATCCAACCCATCAATTATTATACATCATTTTAAAGAGAAAGCTTTGAGCTTTAATTTGAAATAAGTTTCATTCCTTAATTTCAATAAATACGGCTTCCAGGAATTTTTAAATTAGCATCTTTTTTGACACTTAGACTATGCGAAAATAGGGGGATTGCATATTTTGTTAAACGTAAAACGTAAATAAAATTAATTTCATTTCTCAAATATTTATTTCTTTCTTTTAGTTGTTGCAATATGGGATCACCTATTCCATCGTTTACCTTCAAATGTTGTACATCCAACAATAAACAAGGTTATTATGCATCAAATTATCTACATTTATTAAAAATTAAAACACAAAATCGAATTTAACAAAGTTTTAAGGTGCAAGCAGCGTTTTTGCCATCAGGAGAGCAAACACAGGTGTTACAATCTTTCTTAAAAGTTTCTCCAGGGTTACAATGCGTATCTAAAATATTCAAAATTAGTTATTGTTAACAAAAATTAAATGTTTTAACCTCTCTTTGTTGGCCTGCAAGCTTTCTTGGTGCACGCCCAACTTCCTTGGATACATTTGCAACTATTGCAATCGATTGCCTTTGTGTCCCCCGGTTGGCATTCATCTTCAAAAATAAAGATTTAAAACATTAAAATGATCATCTTAATCACTTACCTGCATAAACCAAAGCAACAGCAACAGCTATAATCAAAAGGATTGTTAAATATTTCATTTTAATGTGTTGATTCTTCCTTTAAAAGATGAAAACTAAAACTGCACTGCATAACAAGAAACTCACTTCCTATTTATACTAAAACTCGAGTGTTTGTGGAGTTTATTATCTAATTGCGCAATTATTTACACCAGGATTTAGTGTTAAAAGAAAAATTTTAACCCAAAGAATTAAAATTATATTTTTAGAAGATAATTGAAGACTTTGTTGAACAAACAATTTAAAGATTTCATTTAAATTAAACCTTGAATGTCCAAGAAAACCTGTTTAACACTTATTATTTGCATTGTTACTTCATGTTTATTCGCATCTAGTGGAAAATGTACTTCCCATTTTTTACCACAATGATGTAACCCAATTCTGTTTTATTAAACACATTTAATCATCTTCATTCGTCGTAAATTATTTCTTAATCCCCACCAAATTAAAACGCAAATTGTGATAACAACTCAAAACAAGACTTATTTTTCCTCGAAGGAACTCTCGATAACAACAACAAAGTTAACATTCTAGAAACTCGAGAATGAAACTACCAATTTTAACCATTTTATTCGTTTTAATTTGCTTTAATACATGTAATTCGGGTGAGTTTATTTTCTTGTCCCTTTGTAAGTTGAATCGCTAAAACTATAAAATAAAATGATTATGTTTATAATTTGACGAAAAATAACTTAAATACCTTAAAATTAATAAAAATATTAGAGAATAAAGCTGCTTTCATTGGTTATAAATAATCTGTCAACAACTGTCACTTAAAGAACATAACCTTAAAAGTAAATATTTATTTTTTTATTAATCTAAGATAAATTTTAACGATTTTAATTATCAATTATTAATTTAATAATATAATTTATCAATTATCATTATCATAAAGTAAGTTGAGATTAATTTGGGATTTTTAAACAGCGAGTAACCCCATCTATTGGTAAATGATTAATTCGTATTTATCACCTTTTATCAATAATACAATACTAACTCTTCCGTACGAATTAGTTATTGTTGATAAACGAAAATTAATTATATTAATGAAAAAGAAAATGGAAATTTATAAGACAATTTATAGTTAATAGAGAAATAAATAATTTATAGTTTATTCATATTCGCCCTAGATGGCGCAGTTAAGTTTTATTCAATTTAAATAAAATGAATTAGATTATTTAATTAATAATAACTTTAATTATGTGTGTTCGAAGTTAATTAAAAAGAAATTTTTTAGCTAATAACTTTTAATTTTGTTGAAATTATTTTATTCCCCAAAATGTAACTTTAACCTTACATTTTTCATCTGTCAAAAACAATTCTCAATAATTTTATATTAATTTTTTTATTTAATTTAAGCGATTGGAATCCCGGTTATGTTAGCTCAACTCTCAATTGATGAAGGTAAATTATATCTTTATGTTCCACCCACTTTGAAATATTTAATTTTTAGGTGATTGCAAAATTGGTGATTTGAAAACGGAGTCCTGCAATTATTGTTATTGTTCGAATACGAGATGGGTTTGTACCGTTCTAAACTGTGAAATTAATAAGGAATAATTTATTGTTGAGGTTTCTTTATACATGGAATAGTGAAGAATAGATAGCGAAGAAGATTGTTTATTTTAAGTATTTTAATTAAAACAACAATGATATTATAAAACATATAATAAATCGTAAAGAAACTGACGTCATTAAGAGATTAACATTAAATTTTGCACAAATTAACTTATTTTTAACAAAAAATTCTTTAAAAGTAGTGAGTTTTAGGTTATGCTAGTATTACAGATTCCTGTAAAGCGAATAAAAAAGAATTAATTAATTTTGGGGCTAAAACATCTAAACGAAATGAAGATTTTGATATTTTTCCTTAACTTATTTACTTCTTTTTTCGTTTTAACACATTGTAGGAAGTTTATTTTCTATTAATTCCTTTATTGTATGAAAAAGACAAAACCCATCGACTCTATTGAGATCCAACCTTGTCCCTTTGCAAGTTGAATCGCTAAAACTATAAAATAAAATCTCGTTTTTATGATTATGTTTATAATTTGACGATAAATAACTTGAATACCTTAAAATTAATAAAAATATTAGAGAATAAAACTGCTTTTATTGGTTATAAATAATCTGTCAACAACTGTCACTTAAAGAACATAACCTTAAAAGTAAATATTTATTTTTTTATTAATCTAAGATAAATTTTAACGATTTTAATTATCAATTATTAATTTAATAATATAATTTATCAATTATCATTATCATAAAGTAAGTTGAGATTAATTTGGGATTTTTAAACAGCGAGTAACCCCATCTATTGGTAAATGATTAATTCGTATTTATCACCTTTTATCAATAATACAATACTAACTCTTCCGTACGAATTAGTTATTGTTGATAAACGAAAATTAATTATATTAATGAAAAAGAAAATGGAAATTTATAAGACAATTTATAGTTAATAGAGAAATAAATAATTTATAGTTTAATCATATTCGCCCTAGATGGCGCAGTTAAATATTCAATTTGAATAAAATGAATTAGATTATTTAATTAATAATAACTTTAATTATGTGTGTTCGAAGTTAATTAAAAAGAAATTTTTTAGCTAATAACTTTTAATTTTATTGAAATTATTTTATTCCCCAAAATGTAACTTTAACCTTACATTTTTCATCTGTCAAAAACAATTCTCAACAATTTTTATATTAATTTTTTTATTTGATTTAAGCGATTGGAATCCCGGTTATGTAAGCTCAACTCTCAATTGATGAAGGTAAATTATATCTTTATGTTCCACCCACTTTGAAATATTTAATTTTTAGGTGATTGCAAAATTGGTGATTTGAAAACGGAGTCCTGCAATTATTGTTATTGTTCGAATACGAGATGGGTTTGTACCGTTCTAAACTGTGAAATTAATAAGGAATAATTTATTGTTGAGGTTTCTTTATACATGGAATAGTGAAGAATAGATAGCGAAGAAGATTGTTTATTTTAAGTGTTTTAATTAAAACAACAATGATATTATAAAACATATAATAAATCTTAAAGAAACTGACGTCATTAAGAGATTAACATTAAATTTTGCACAAATTAACTTATTTTTAACAAAAAATTCTTTAAAAGTAGTGAATTTTAGGTTATGCTTGTATTACAGATTCCTGTAAAGCGAATAAAAAAGAATTAATTAATTTTGGGGCTAAAACATCTAAACGAAATGAAGATTTTGATATTTTTCCTTAACTTATTTACTTTTTTTTTCGTTTTAACACATTGTAGGAAGTTTATTTTCTATTAATTCCTTTATTGTATGAAAAAGACAAAACCCATCGACTCTATTGAGATCCAACCTTGTCCCTTTGCAAGTTGAATCGCTAAAACTATAAAATAAAATCTCGTTTTTATGATTATGTTTATAATTTGACGATAAATAACTTAAATACCTTAAAATTAATAAAAATATTAGAGAATAAAGCTGCTTTTATTGGTAATAAATAATCTGTCAATAACTGTCACTTAAAGAACATAACCTTAAAAGTAAATATTTATTTTTTTATTAATCTAAGATAAATTTTAACGATTTTAATTATCAATTATTAATTTAATAATATAATTTATCAATTATCATTATCATAAAGTAAGTTGAGATTAATTTGGGATTTTTAAACAGCGAGTAACCCCATCTATTGGTAAATGATTAATTCGTATTTATCACCTTTTCTCAATAATACAATACTAACTCTTCCGTACGAATTAGTTATTGTTGATAAACGAAAATTAATTATATTAATGAAAAAGAAAATGGAAATTTATAAGACAATTTATAGTTAATAGAGAAATAAATAATTTATAGTTTATTCATATTCGCCCTAGATGGCGCAGTTAAGTTTTATTCAATTTAAATAAAATGAATTAGATTATTTAATTAATAATAACTTTAATTATGTGTGTTCGAAGTTAATTAAAAAGAAATTTTTTAGCTAATAACTTTTAATTTTGTTGAAATTATTTTTTTCCCCAAAATGCTTAACATGGCATCGAAGTACAATAAGTTGGGGTTCCAACGCTTGAACAAAAACACCAATTACATCCGTATTTAAATTCCGTTCCTGGTTCACAAAGTGGAGCTAAAAATTATTTATAAAACATTTTTTATATTTAACAAGAACGATTCAAATTTTTACCAGGTTTGGGAGTTGTGGGAATAAACGCTTTTGGACCACAATTCCATTGATACTTTACACACTGACAATGACACTGCTTTTCTTCATCGGAATAAGTTTGCCCATTATTACAAACTAAAATAAATTACATTTTAAAACGTACATTGAAAATCGTGGATAAAAACCTGATCTTGGTGCCACATGGTGAACATCGCCTAAAATTTTAAAAAATAATTGATTAGTTAAAATTAGATAATTTATTTTAGTAATTATAACTTCCTACAATGTGTTAAAACGAAAAAAAAAGTAAATAAGTTAAGGAAAAATATCAAAATCTTCATTTCGTTTAGATGTCTCAGCATAAAGTTCAAAAATAACATTTTTCTCCATTCAACTTTGATTAATTAATCCAATTAAAAATGCATTTTCCTTTTAAAAAGGTCTTTTAATCATTAATTAAGTTTTTATAGCTCATAAATAAACCCCAAAATTAATTAATTCTTTATTCGCTTTACAGGAATCTGTAATACTACCATAACCTAAAACTCAGAATTTTTTGTTAAAAATAAGTTAATTTGTGCAAAATTTAATGTTAATCTCTTAATGACGTCAGTTTCTTCACGATTTATTATATGTTTTATAGCATCATTGTTGTTTTAATTAAAATACTTAAAATAAACAATCTCCTTCGCTATCTATTCTTCACTATTCCATGTATAAAGAAACCTCAACAATAAATTATTCCTTATTAATTTCACAGATTAGAACGGTACAAACCCATCTCGTATTCGAACAATAACAATAATTGCAGGACTCCGTTTTCAAATCACCAATTTTGCAATCACCTAAAAATTAAATATTTCAAAGTGGGTGGAACATAAAGATATAATTTACCTTCATCAATTGAGAGTTGAGCTAACATAACCGGGATTCCAATCGCTTAAATCAAATAAAAAAATTAATATAAAATTATTGAGAATTGTTTTTGACAGATGAAAAATGTAAGGTTAAAGTTACATTTTGGGGAATAAAATAATTTCAACAAAATTAAAAGTTATTAGCTAAAAAATTTCTTTTTAATTAACTTCGAACACACATAATTAAAGTTATTATTAATTAAATAATCTAATTCATTTTATTTAAATTGAATAAAACTTAACTGCGCCATCTAGGGCGAATATGAATAAACTATAAATTATTTATTTCTCTATTAACTATAAATTGTCTTATAAATTTCCATTTTCTTTTTCATTAATATAATTAATTTTCGTTTATCAATAATAACTAATTCGTACGGAAGAGTTGGTATTGTATTATTGATAAAAGGTGATAAATACGAATTAATCATTTACCAATAGATGGGGTTACTCGCTGTTTAAAAATCCCAAATTAATCTCAACTTACTTTATGATAATGATAATTGATAAATTATATTATTAAATTAATAATTGATAATTAAAATCGTTAAAATTTATCTTAGATTAATAAAAAAATAAATATTTACTTTTAAGGTTATGTTCTTTAAGTGACAGTTATTGACAGATTATTTATTACCAATAAAAGCAGCTTTATTCTCTAATATTTTTATTAATTTTAAGGTATTTAAGTTATTTTTCGTCAAATTATAAACATAATCATAAAAACGAAATTTTATTTTATAATTTTAGCGATTCAACTTGCAGAGAGACAAGGTTGGATCTCAATAGAGTCGATGGGTTTTGTCTTTTTCATACAATAAAGGAATTAATAGAAAATAAACTTCCTACAATGTGTTAAAACGAAAAAAGAAGTAAATAAGTTAAGGAAAGATATCAAAATCTTCATTTCGTTTAGATGTTTTAGCATAAAGTTCAAAAATAACATTTTTTTTCTCCATTCAACTTTGATTAATTAATCCAATTAAAAATGCATTTTTTTTCTCAATAAATTAATTTCCTTTTAATCATTAATTAAGTTTTTATAGCTCATAAATAAACCCCAAAATTAATTAATTCTTTTTTATTCGCTTTACAGGAATCTGTAATACTAGCATAACCTAAAACTCACCACTTTTAAACAATTTTTTGTTAAAAATAAGTTAATTTGTGCAAAATTTAATGTTAATCTCTTAATGACGTCAGTTTCTTTACGATTTATTATATGTTTTATAACATCATTGTTGTTTTAATTAAAATACTTAAAATAAACAATCTTCTTCGCTATCTATTCTTCACTATTCCATGTATAAAGAAACCTCAACAATAAATTATTCCTTATTAATTTCACAGTTTAGAACGGTACAAACCCATCTAGTATTCGAACAATAACTATAATTGCAGGACTCCGTTTTCAAATCACCGATTTTGCAATCACCTAAAAATTAATTATTTCAAAGTGGGTGGAACATAAAGATATAATTTACCTTCATCAATTGAGAGTTGAGCTAACATAACCGGGATTCCAATCGCTTAAATCAAATAAAAAAATTAATATAAAATTATTGAGGATTGTTTTTGACAGATGAAAAATGTGAGGTTAAAGTTATATTTTGGGGAATAAAATAATTTCAACAAAATTAAAAGTTATTAGCTAAAAAATTTCTTTTTAATTAACTTCGAACACACATAATTAAAGTTATTATTAATTAAATAATCTAATTCATTTTATTTAAATTGAATAAAACTTAACTGCGCCATCTAGGGCGAATATGAATAAACTATAAATTATTTATTTCTCTATTAACTATAAATTGTCTTATAAATTTCCATTTTCTTTTTCATTAATATAATTAATTTTCGTTTATCAATAATAACTAATTCGTACGGAAGAGTTGGTATTGTATTATTGATAAAAGGTGATAAATACGAATTAATCATTTACCAATAGATGGGGTTACTCGCTGTTTAAAAATCCCAAATTAATCTCAACTTACTTTATGATAATGATAATTGATAAATTATATTATTAAATTAATAATTGATAATTAAAATCGTTAAAATTTATCTTAGATTAATAAAAAAATAAATATTTACTTTTAAGGTTATGTTCTTTAAGTGACAGTTATTGACAGATTATTTATTACCAATAAAAGCAGCTTTATTCTCTAATATTTTTATTAATTTTAAGGTATTTAAGTTATTTTTCGTCAAATTATAAACATAATCATTTTATTTTATAGTTTTAGCGATTCAACTTACAAAGGGACAAGGTTGGGTCTCAATAGAGTCGATGGCAAGGTTTGTAGAACATAAAGTTACCTCATTCCCTATGCCTCTGTAGTATCGATTATTACCCCGCAGATTGACGTCACTGGTTCGATACAGTCAAAATAAAAGATAGCCTATACGTGCCTATACTGTGGTACAGTCTATATAAAATATTTAAACCTCGCATCGTGTTGTGTTGTTCATAGAACTAGCTACGTCACTGACTCACCTTGCCTCTCAGAGGAGGAGAATCGGTATTGGGTAACCTTATGTTCTATAGACCTTGGATTAATCCCATCATATCTCCATAAAATTAAGGTAAAAGAAAATCCAAACTGTAAATGCGGAGATGAGGAATCCCAGTCTATCTAAATAAAGATTAATTTTCTTCTTTTATTTTCATTCTGTTACTATGCGTGTTCTTAAATAGCTTAAAAATCCACAAATTGTAAAAGAAATGATTGAGGTTATATTTCCTGTCAAACTCTTCGTTGCTTAATTTGGGCGATAAAATCATTTCGGGGAATCTTAAATCACTAAAACTAAATAACTTGAGTATTTAAATACGTACTTTAAACGTTATTGAGGTTCAATTAAACTTTTTGTCGAAGAAAATCCTAAATTTCAAAAAATAATAGGCAGACTGTCAATCGGAATCGAAACTTCAAAAATACTTTCATTAATTATCGCTAGATGGAGTGAGAAATTGTTTAATTTTTATTTTATTTAAAAATAAATTTTGTGACAGTTTTTAAAGAATTATTAATCGTAAAAATTTCTATCTAAATAAGGTTAAATTATATATTTAAATAATTCAAAATATAATTTAATACATGTAATTACTGATAGATGGAAATTAAAATAATGACATTATATGCCACCATAATACTTTTTATTTTAGCGCTCAAAACAATTTTAAATGTTATTCCATTTATTCTAATTGATCGTAATATTCATAATAACTATCATCTTCATCAACATATCCTTCCGACGGTTTATCATATTCATCTTCATCATCATTTAGGTCATCATACCCGAATTTATCCGTCTCAATTGCCTCATATTCTCCACTATAATACTCCATTTCATGTTTTTCATCTAAATATTTGTAATATTCATAATAATTTTCGTTATCGTATTCATAATAGTCGGTATTCAAATATTCATTTTCCTCGTAATAATTTTTAAGAAATTCATCCTGAAAATTTCCAAGATGATCGCAAACACTTTGTGTGCAAGTTTCAGCCGTTCCATCCATCGAACAGTTACAAGTGTTACATCCTCTTTTATATCTTGAACCCGGATTACAAATTTCTAAAAGACAAACATATAATATAAATAAATTAATTTTAAATTTAATTTTATTATTAAAATAAAGGAATAGGTGGCGCCATCTCTTAATAAATTTGTGATTTAGGTTGCATTGATTTGTGTTAAGAGGGTTGCTAAGTGTTATATATATTCGAATGATTATATTGAAAGGAGCTATCAGCATGGAAACTTCGGCGAGAGATACTGCTCAATTACAAAGAAGCAACGTTCCATTTGTTAGGCAACCACATACACATGTATGCATATGTAAACATATAGTTAATAAGAGATGAGTAATGTGAGGTTATGTTAGTTTAATAATAAAACGAGTAAGAGTTGTCCCGCGTTTTATTAAGAAGATTAAGCCTTTTTCAATCGTCTTTAAGCGTGCATCTATCAGGTTAAGGGCCCAGATCGCGCCTATGTGAGTAAAGGACGATCAGTAGAAGAGAAAAAGCGAAAGTCGATTCGACCGGAAATAATTAAAGAATACCTGTCCCTCTTAAAAATCGATGATTTCTTTTTTAATCGGTAAGAAATGACTCAAAAGATGTGTTAATGATAAAAAAAAGTGCGGAAAAGTGTAGTACTTACCGAAAAATCACTTTAAAGTTGCGATTTGACGTTTCTTTTTGGAAGTTCAAAGCAATGTTAAATATGCACTTTCGTATTAAATCCTAACCTGAAATTGTTTAATTTAGTTCCACGCACAAAATAAAAAGTTATTTTCACTAAACTTATTGAGATTACAACATATTTTCGGATGAAAACCTTATTTCTTAGGCTATCAATGCATAACGACAATTACCTGTCGTTAGATAGAGTTGTTTCTACCAAATGTGTGTTAATAGACTTTATGTTAATAGATTGTGTATCAATTGATCTGTCAAACGACTATAATATCTTTATGTTGTAAATATAAATGATAAATAAGTATAGTAGCTTATTTAATAGTAGTTTACTTAAATTAAAATAGTTATTAAAAAAGACATGTGTATACATGGTTACAAAATAAAAATAAATAAATAACCCGTGTGACGATAGCAACAAACTGTGCATTTAACCAAATGACAATTACAACTGACAACACAAGCAATGTTAACCATGTATTTTCTCGTATTAAATCCTAACCTCAAATTGTTTAATTTATACCCACTGACGNGGGTATAAATTAAACAATTTGAGGTTAGGATTTAATACGAGAAAATACATGGTTAACATTGCTTGTGTTGTCAGTTGTAATTGTCATTTGGTTAAATACACAGTTTGTTGCTATCGTCACACGGGCTATTTATTTATTTTTATTTTGTAACCATGTCTTTTTTAATAACTATTTTAATTTAACTAAACTACTATTAAATAAGCTACTATACTTATTTATCATTTATATTTACAACATAAAGATTGCAAAGAGCTTTCAGTCATTTGACAGATCAATTGATACACAATCCATTAACACAAAGTCTATTAATACACATTTGGTAGAAACAATTCTATCTAACGCCATTTAATTGTCGTTCTGCATCGATAGCCTAAGAAACAAGGTTTTCATCAGAAAATATGTTGTAATCTCAACAAATTTAGTGAAAATAACTTTTTATTTAGTGCGTGGGTATAAATTAAACAATTTGACGTTAGGATTTAATACGAACTTTGAACTTCCAAAAAGAAACGTCAAATCGCAACTTTAAAGTGATTTTTCGGTAAGTACTACACTTTCCCGCACTTTTTTTTTATCATTAACACATCTTTTGAGTCATTTCCTACCGATTAAAATGTCACAAAATTTATTTTTAAATAAAATAAAAATTAAACAATTTCTCACTCCATCTAGCGATAATTAATGAAAGTATTTTTGAAGTTTCGATTCCGATTGACAGTCTGCCTATTATTTTTTGAAATTTAGGATTTTCTTCGACAAAAAGTTTAATTGAACCTCAATAACGTTCAAAGTACGTATTTAAATACTCAAGTTATTTAGTTTTAGTGATTTAAGATTCCCCGAAATGATTTTATCGCCCTAATTAAGCAACGAAGAGTTTGACAGGAAACATAACCTCAATCATTTCTTTTGCAATTCGTGGATTTTTAAGTTATTTAAGAACACGCATAGTAACAGAATGAAAATAAAAGAAGAAAATTAATCTTTATTTAGATTTTAGATAGACTGGGATTCCTCATCTCCGCATTTACAATTTGGATTTTCTTTTACCTTAATTTTATGGAGATGTGATGGGATTAATCCAAGGTCTATAGAACATGTTCTATAAACCTTGGAGTTGTCCCGCGTTTTATTAAGAAGATTAAGCCTTTTTTCAATCGTCTTTAAGCGTGCATCTATCAAAAGTCAGATGTGAAAATGTAAAAGAAAGATGCTATTTGTAATATCTTACTGATAATTTCATTCCCTTCTTGTTCTTTAATCGATTCCATCCCTGGAGGTAATTCGATTTCTAAAAATTCAGGTAAAGTATCAGCTGCAATGCTATCTTGTTCAATAACATCAGGACACTCTTTCAGTTTACACCACCAAATCGATTCTTTACAAATACACCGATTACAAACATCTTCATTACGAATTTCCCCTTCCTTACATATCTCTTTAGTTCCGTCGAATTTAAAAAATTCATAAACCCGATCTAAACGGGATTCGTGCGAATAATTTTTGATTATCGTGTCTTCCCGACACAATTCCAAAGGGCATTCCCAAACGTTTTCGGTTTGATTACATCGACACCGATTGCAGGGCCAATCGGGTTTGAACATTTCATTTTTACACGGTCCCAATGGTAAGATGGAGGTGTGTTGGAATTGGGGCAGTTGTAGAAATGGAAGTAGTGTCCATCGTCCGTTTTTGCAATAAAAATTCGAGTCGTCTTTTCGTAACATTTCTTCGTCGGCGCAATCGTTGCAAATATCATTTTTGCACGACCATCGATTTGTTTTTGTTGAACACAAACAAACTAAACAGTTTCTTCGGTAAGCGTCGCCTTGATTGCAAGAGTCGTCCTCGTAAATTCCGAGAATTACTTTGGATAGATTGAGTATAAGAAAAATTGTTTTAAAAAACATGGTTAATAATTAATAAAATCAATGCAAGGTGAGAATGAAAGAATGAGACGTGGGTTTTAATTGTTTAATAAATTTTAATGACTAAGTATTATCTTTTAGGTTGTTTTTAACATGTGTAAGTGCAATTCCATTTAAAATTTCGATTACAATGGCAACGGTGGCATTCCTCTTCGTTCATTTCGCCTAAATCGCATCTTTTATCTAAAAAAAATTATTTACAACAATTATTATACATCATTTTAAAGAGAAAGCTTTGAGCTTTAATTTAAAATAAGTTTCATTGCTTAATTTCAATAAATACGGCTTACAGGAATTTTTAAATTAGCAT